TTTAAGCCACGACTTTAACAATAACTGCTAAAATAGATATATATATATAGATCCTCAGAAAACAAAGAAGACTAGATAACTATATAGTACTGTAATCTACCCAATATAGTATTATTACAGAAGTGAAACTGAAGTGTTAACTGAAGCATATCGGGTAACATAACTAGTAGAAATGCCTGCACCATAAACTAAGGAAACGGTAATAGTGTATAGAGCCCCTGCCAATAAAGAACTAAGCTGGTGTAGAGCTGTTGCTAAAATATAGAATAAAGCAACAAGTTCTACCCTCGACTATGAAAATAGCGTGCAGGGATAGCAAGTAATGAACTATAAGCAAACCTGATACAGAGTTGCTACAAAACTATCGAGTGCTGAGTGATACGTTGTAACGTTTCCTGAATAGTAAATTGTAATATATGAAAGTTCTAACACTAAAAGCCTTAGCTAAGATGAAAATACTGCAAAGATATTTGGAATAGCAGTAGATTAAGCACGGAACAGCAATGATGACGTTCTAAAGTAGCAAGATACGTGTAACACTATTTACAAAGAGAAAAGTAAACGAAAAAATAATCATAAATAGCGTCCGTCCAAGAACTGAGTAATAAGGCGCATACAATAAAATACGCACTTGAAAAAAAATAAAAGACAAGGAGAAGGAAATAGTCCTAAGGCTAGCAACCTCCCATTTGCCTTCGTGGGCACCCGGACTAACCCCGCTAGTACTGTCCTAAATGAGACATCAGATAAAAAAAAAAAAAAGAAAATACAGGGTGTAGAGAAAATATGATAAATAAAGGGCGATCAAGTAACGCCAGGAATCCCCTGACGCGCGCGTTTTGCCAAAGCTCGTCAGAGGGGAACTGGGTGCCGCCAGCTCAAACATTTAAATATGAAGACTAGAATGCTGATTGGCCAACCAAAACGTGTTCTGATTGGATGGCCAGGGAGTGATGTCACCGAATAGGGGGAGTGTGCCGACGGCTGTGTTTGCCGAGCACACATTAACCCCTAACTTTCCAACGCTGATGTGATGAAAAGGTGATCAAATTTAATGCACAATAAAACAACTACTGTATGAAAATAAAAGAGAGAAAAAGAAAAAGACCAAACGATCAAACAAGCATAGAATAAAGAGAAAGAGAAATGACATAACACCTAATTGATAAGTACAGAGATACATGAGGATTAGCTGTGTGTTACACTTATGTAATTTGAGACATCTGAATATACCCTTATAGTATGGGATATGATTTTAACTAGTTATTGGTGTTCCATTCTGTACATTCACACTTTTTAATTAAGTATATCTAATAAAGTTATTTATTTTTTTTTTTTTCATCATTTCTTTCATCTTATTAGTGATCAAACTGTGCTTTACCTGCACAGTTCTCACTTAGTGATAGTTCCTTTTCTCTCCTTGTTCTGTTCTGATAGGTACTCTCTCCATTTCTTTTTGATATTTATTTCTACTAGGGGTTACCCCCCTGTTTAGAGTGTACCTAGGCTGTACTTCAATTTATCATATATATATATACACACACACACACATATATATATATATATATATATATGTAAACATA